TATTATGCGACAATTCACACAATATACTCAGTGATGAAAGCCTGTCCCTTTAATACATACCTGTACAGACACACATTATACCTGTCACTCACCTGCTGTATGAGGACATGTCCTCCTGTAGATCATGCAGGAGTCTGGACGGATGCACAGTATCATCATCTGCCTCCTCTGGAAGAGGATGCTGGTCCAGACAGCTGCGGGACAAACCACGACTACCAAAACCAGCAGAGAGAGAGGAAGAGCATTTACTACTTCTAGAATCTATCAATCTATCAATAGATCTGTCCTTCTATCCACCCAAGTTTTTTCTTTCGTTCTATCTATCTATCTATCTAAACATCAACCCAAAGATCTTTCTATATGAGTATTTATCTATCTACCAAATAACTGGATTGATAACCTGACTATCTATCTATTTATTCGTCTATCTATGGTTCGATTTAAAAATCTGTCTGTCTATTTATGGATCAAACCAAATATCTTTCTGACTATCTATCTATCAACATCCACTCCCGCCTCTGTGCTGCGTGGCCTTGCTCCTGTTCCTGCGTCATGAATGGCCGGCTGATCCAGTATTCATTCTCGGCTTCCTGTTCCAGGCGTTTCATCACATTACGTCTTATCTGCCAGGTGACTACCCGCGGTCGACGGTACTTCCCGATCCACTGCTTTCCTGGGATTCCCTTCCGCAAAAGCGCCAAAGTCAAGAACATCCTGCAGCCAGTGATGGGTTACAAGAGTGAATCTGAAATAAATCACAAAGCAGTTCAGCTACAAATGTCACATCAGAAAGCAGAATAGTACAAATTATGAGAAAAGAATAAATTATTGATAAAAAAAATAATTCTTGATTAAAACAAATCAAACAAAAAATCTTTTTAAACTGCATTAAAAATGACATACTCATGTAAACAATACAAGACTGTACAGTAAATGCACATTGTTTGGGGCTATTCAGACTTGAATTTAGAGTTTGAGTTCATAAGAAACAGTAGATGTGATCTAATTTCATTATTATCACGTATGTAAACTGGTACACAATGTCTTTAATAGACTAAAAAGTGCTCTAGTATCTGTATATATAAGTATCTGATATAGATTTATTTCTAACTCTCTGAAGTCTAAGCAAACCATCTGACCTTGACTTGGAATGGCACTGAAATCAAATAACAACAACATTTTAAATGAAAACAAGTCAAATAATTATATATCGTATACAGCTATATGGCCATCTTAATATCTAAACACTTCAAATACGCTTTTTAACACATTTTAATGTCTCCTACATCACATCATATACTTGCATGCAGGCTGTAAGCGAGTAATAAACAATACCGTTCGTACAACGACGAAAATCAAATTTACTCAGAAATGTAAAAGCGTGGCGATGAAAATAAGCCAAATTTCTTACAACAATAATGATTAAGACATTTAATAATTTACACAATCTTCTGTCCAAATCCCCGGCCAGCATGCCGCAGACACACTGCTGCTGCTGAATGTCAGAAGTGCGATTTTTGCAGCGCCACCTACAGCACTGGAGGCTGCAGTGCAGCGCGCTCTGCTGGCTGATGAACTTCAAAAATCTGGAGGTGCAACTTCATTCAATCAGGATTACCAGAGGAACAGAGCTGTTCAATTCAGTGTGTAGCTCTAAAACCCGACAGAGACTTCGCATTATTCTGCTTATTACGCGACTTGTTACTAAATAAATAAGAGACATGGAATACTGATTTGAGTTGAAATTATTTTATTACAGGATAAAGAAAAACTGCAAAGAGTAGAGGAGCACTGAACTCAATCCCTGATTTTCTGATTTCCCCATCCGATCCTGACCAATTTGATAAACGTATTTATTAATTTAGCCAGTCTTTCGTTTTTCTTTTTACATGTACTGTATGCTGCTTAGATTTATTGCGGGTCTGGATAACTGGATAAATGCAGCAAACAATGATTATGTTTGTTATTTGAAGAAGTTTAATGGTTTAATGAAGCTTGTTCAAAAAAACTTGCCAGTGTTTATTCTGCAAAAATGACTGTATCTGACTGTAAATTATACAACGTATTACTAAGTATGGAAATTAAGTACTGATTTAAGTTCTTTTTTTTTTTAATTGGCTTATTGGTAGTAGCAAGGACAGAGAGACTGTCGACATTCACACGATTATTGAATGTCATTATTGAGAAATATTGACTGCTGTAGGTCATGATTGACCAAGCAGAAATACATTGTATAAAATAAAATATCAATAAAACAAATTAAATTAAAATAATTTTTTTCATGTGAGAAAAAGAAGTCAAAATAATAGTCACGTGATAGGAATCGTCCAATGAGAGAGTCGAAATAATAGTCACGTGATAGGAATCTGTCCAATGAGAGTTCAGTACCATGGCCCGGAAGCGTAATCCGGTTCATGTTTTGATGCTCCTCTCCAGGTCTTTGATGTTTCTGTGCTGCGGCTCCGGTCGTGTTTTGGTCAGGACTCAGGAGGAGGCAGAAAGATGACAGCCAGAAAGTCCGGGTCGCGATTAGAGACTGAAATAGAGCGCTGTCGATCAGAGGGACAATGGGACAAGATACCAGAACTCGTGCGGCAGCTGTCTGCGAAACTCATCTCAAACGGTGTGTGTGATTTCTGTCTTCTGTAACGTTACTCCTGGCTAACGCGTTAGCTCGGACAGTGTGTGTGAGTTTCAGGCCTGGTGGCAAAATCCGTATCACGTTCATTCCTGTACGTTTAACTACACATTTACAAATCATTGAGAGAATGGTTTCTTTTCAGGGTGTCTAAAATGTGATATTAATGCCTTTTTGGTGTTAGTCTGCATTTCTGTCCAGTACACTTCCTGGTTGTCCATACAGTTGTGTCCATTCATCTTCATAATTTCTATAATTCATATTTGTATTAAGTCTAGTAATTTATGGAGAGTCATTATTTGACTTATTGTCAATGTCAAAATATAGGGTTCTCTTTTGCATTAGATACACTTGAATGGTGCATATTTAAACTTAAACATTTTCATTCAAATTAAATCACACAGATAAAGAAAACTATAAAGTAATAAATAATAGATGTATAATAAAAGATTTATAAAAAGAATAGAAAAGAACTATACACAAATATTACTAGATATAAGTTAAAATGAGAAGACATTTCAAAAAGGTTTTGAATGCTTTATTAATGACAGATTTCAAAATAATTTCTTTAAAAAAAAAAAAACTTGAAAAAGACTTACAATTGGCATGTGTGAATGTAAAATTTACAAAGAAATATGTTTATTTCCAGTGGTTATAAGTAAAAATTAAATTAAAGAATTGTTTATAATAATCAAAAATAATTACAAATTTAATATACAACAATAACAAAGTTATACTTAAAAGTCTGTTAATAATAATATTAATTAATACTATTATAATTATTTATTAGTAAATGATATGTGTTTAGTCATTATTATTTTTATTTTCAGAATATTTAAAAAGATTTTAAGTGAAAAGATTTCACAAAAACAATATTTTACATCAATATCATCCGTGAACATCTGGAAGATGATCTATTTGACTGGGTAAAGTTTATGAATTACAAAAGCCTGTCCTAAAGGTTGGTTTAATGTCTATAATGAACACAGTTGTGGATTAAATTGCCCGTTTCCATCTTTGCATTTTGCCCTGTTCATTAAAAGCTACATATTAATAAGCATTATTGTTTGCCTCGTATGAGATGATGAAAGATTTAAGATGTGCATGTAAGGCAGCAGATTAAACCACACGTGGTTGCTCTCAAAGCTGTGCGTGTGTTAAGACCTGTAAGAATGTGTTCAGGTGCAACGCTGGATTATATCTGGGCTTTATGTAATGCTGCTTTCACAATCAGCACTGCAAATGTGTTTGAGTGTTGATTTACAGTTCAGATATGCAGGTGGCGACCCTCCACGATTACTTTTTCAGTCAGAAGAGAATGATGAAAGGGATAGTTCACCCAGTAATGAAAATTTTGCCATCATTTGCAGTGGTACATTTATGAATGTGTGTGCATGAGCTTGCTGACTGTCATTATGATGAAATTATCCTAGTGTATGATTTGCTTTCCATCTATGTGTGCGCTTATTTGAGTAATTTCAGGTGCCTAGTTCAACCTCTGCTTCTCTTGTAGATGATCTTGGGGAGCTTCTGCTGGGGGAGGCCAAACTCCAGCAGTACCTCAAGGAAAACCCCATCAAGCAGGGAGCCAGTCCCCGCGGGCCCCGGCCACGCCTCCAGGAGGTACGGAAACACTTGACGGCTGCACTTGATCGGGGAAACTTAAAGGTAAGCCTGAACTGTCAGGATCATCATTTCTGTTTGCTGCGTCAGTGTTACAGTGAACTAAAATTAAAACTAAAACCATTTCAAAAATATTTCTTGAAATGAAAGAAATGTTTAACTGAAATAAAATCAAATATAAAATATATTTAAGCTAGTTGCCAAAGCAACATTTCTCATTTTCATTTAGTTTAACATTATGTACTAAAATAACTGAAATAAAATTAATAAAACGATTAATCGCGATTAATCGCATCCAACATAAAAGTTTTTGATTACATAATATATGTGTGTGTGCTGTGTATATTTATTATGTATATATAAAGACACATAACTAATAAAATTGACACAACAAAACTAATAAAACTGTAAGTAATAAATAATAATGTAACAACTAATAAAATAGTATGATAACTAAAAGTATAATAAAAATAATAAATGTATCATAGTAAAAACTAGTGCTGTCAAACGATTAATCGCATCCAAAATAAACGTTTTTGTTTACATAATATATATGTGTGTACTGTGTACATTTATTATGTATATATAAATACACACATATACAGTATGTATTTAGAAAATATTTACATGTATTTATATTCCTATAATTTATGAATAAATATGTAAAAAATATCAAATATATTTACGTGTATATATATTCATATAATTGATATTATATATAAATATATTTAATATATTAACATAACATATTTATCTTAAATATATATGTGCATGTGTGTGAATTTATATATACATAATAAATATACACACAAAAACTGTAGTAGTATTTTAATTATACTAAAATGTATCTGATCCATCGTCAAAATTAAAGAAAATATATACTTTATATATAAAAATGCATAGTAAATTATTAATGGTTAGTGTAAATCAATTCTAAGGGGTGATTTACACAGTATGCATTTTTGTGCAAGATGCATGTCAGTGGAATGGGGAAAAATGCAAGGTGTAGAGATGCTTTTTTTTTTTTAAGTTGAATTTATTTTAAGAATACTGTGTCATGCACAAGATGCTGCAAAAGACGTGAACGTAAGCACAGCTGTCAAACACGTCCGTCTACTGCATGTTTACAACAATGGAAAAGCAGTGCAAAAGAATGCAAAAACACATTCTGTGAAAATGGCCCCTAAGTCTGGAATAACATCTTAACATCCAGATTTAAATGTAATAATTTATCAGACTTTTATTTAAAGATTTTTAAATGAGAAAAACCAAAAGCAATTCATCGTATCCAACAATATTAGCAATACCGCAATACCAAGTTTTGGGTGTCAATGAAAACCAGATTAGTAGTGGAATAAAAAGTTTATGATTATGGATAATTCAGTGCCAGGTAAATCTAAAATTGACTTTAAACCACTCGTGGTTGGAGCCTTTCCAGTATCATTGGTGTTT